TCGAGCGCTGTGCCGGCCAAGCTCCCCGGCCAAGCTCCCCGGCCACCCTTTCCCACCGCGGCCCAGCCTGGGATCTGTCTGTCAGGAAGGCCACGCTGTCCCTGCCGTGTGGGTGGCCATGTGTGAGCTAACAAGCTGCAGTACCCTCTCCCGGGGCGGGCAGGGTGGGGGAGTGGGCTCCACGGCCTGGCAGGTCTCCCTGGAGAGGCTTGACCTTTGGCAAGTGGGCGGTGGGCGAGGGGCCCTGTCCTTCCGCGGAGGCCGGGACCACCCAGTCCCTATAGCTCCTCCGAGGGGATCAGCACCCTCTTCTCCACGCTGCGGCTCTTCCTGCCTCCGCCAGACCGTCCGGCCACGCTGGGGTGGGTGCCGGGTGAGGGGAGCCTGCCCAGGCCGGGCCCCGATGCCTCCTGCGTGGCCTGCTGCGCGTAGTGCTGGTACGTGGGCGAGAAGTTGTGGATGGCGTCCTGCACGATGTCCCGCGGGCTCACAGTCTCCTTGAGGCCACTGGAGATGCTCTGCAAAGGTGCCCCTGGGCCTGGGGCGGCAGCGCGTGCGTGGGTGGGGGCTGGGGGCTCCGTGGGCTCGTCTGCTTCCCGCGGACCCGTAGCCCGGGTGGCCTGGCTTGTTCCTGCCGTCCTTGGGCTGCCCAGGACTGGGCTCTTGCATCTCTAGGTCCTGGCCTCGGCCAGCAGAGAGAGACTCCCAAGACCCCCAAATGCCAGCCCTGCTCCTCCGTCTACGGCTGTCCGAGCCCATACGAGACCGCAGGAGAGAACACTGTAGCTGGCCCCCACCTTCCCTCCAGGCTACCGGGCGCAGCCACAGGCCATGCCTACCCAAACAGGCTAGTCACTCAGGACACCAGGACCGGCCAGCCCTTGCCCCTCCAGCCCCGGCGGCACCCACCCTCATCACCTCAGGGGCCTGGGGCCCAGCCGCCAGTCCCCTGCTCAGACCGCGGGCTTCTGCTGCCAGCCTGCCCGGTCTCTCCCCTGAGCCAGGTGCAGGCCGCGTGCCTGTCTAGGATCTCGGGCCTCCCTATCTCTCAGGCGGGCATCCCCTGGGCTATGTGGGGAACATAGTGCCCAGGGGGCCCAGGGGAAGGCAGGGCCGGGCACACCCACCCCACACCATAACTATGCCGGCCCGGGAGCTGCACACGGTCCAGCCCGCTGGCAGGGCCCATGTACCTGGCGAGTTGTCCTTCTCCGCATACACCTGGCAGGTGAAGGCATAGCGCAGGGCGATGGAGGCAAACAGCATCTCGATGCAGATAATGAAGTTCTGGTAGCCGGCGGCCAGCGTGCCGGCCCCCACCCTGCTCCCATCTGTGGTCTGGACCTCAGGGATGACCCCGCACCTCTCCAGAATGGCCAGCAGCATCCCTGTGAGTGGTGAAGGCCACTTAGGCACCCGCCCCGAACAGGAGGCCGAACTGGCACTGACTCTAGCCAAGAATCCCACCGATGCTGGCTTTGGGGTCTTGGTGGGGGTCCGAGGAGAGGATGAGGCTCAGGCCCCGCAAAGGCTCCTGGGCTGGCCCTGGGGCGTCTACCACAGAGGGGGAGAGCAAGGTTTGCAGGGGCCCGAGAAGCTGGGGTCTCGGCACAGTGGACCTCCAGGGGCTCCCCAAGGGTCTCCCTGACTTCCCCAACCGCAGACGTGGGCCTGCTGCGTTGTCCGACTCTGCCAAGTGCAGGGATGGGTCCCCTCCACTGCCGGCATGTCTGCACCAGAGCTGTCCATCTTCCCGCTAAGAGGGCCGTGTCACTGACCTACGCTGCAGGCTGGGCCCGAGGGCACTGGGGGTGGAACCCTCAGCCGCCCCACCCACCCTGCCAGAAAGAGAGGAAGATGACGGCCTTGATGGTGAGGAACTTGAGGACCGGCTCGAAGGGCTGCAGGAGCTCCCTGGTGGCGAAGTAGAAAAGGAACAGGGCGTAGAGAGCCAGGCTGACGGACACGTTGTAGATGAGAGTGACGTAGAAGTAGCCGCTGTGGACGCTGGGGCCAGAGCAGGTGCCAGGGGTCAGAGTGGGACCCGCGACCTCTGCGCCCTCCCCACCCGTGACCCGGACCCGTAGCTTTCGTCTGGGGGGCAGGTGGCACCTAAGGGGAGTAGCCAGGAGCCGGGGGCAGTCGGCAGAGGTCCTTGCAGGGCGTCCTGACGGAGGCAAGATGCGGCCTCCTCCTGCCCCCTCCCCATCCACCTGGGGACAGCCTGAAGGAACGGCCCCCTGCGTCGTGGACACAGCACACGTGTGAGCATGCGTGTGAGTGTGTGCACGCGGGCACTGTGTGCACGAGCACGTGTGAGCACGTGTGTGAGTGCAGGCATGTGTGCATGTGAGTACTGTGTGTGCATGAGCGTGTGTGAGCACACGTGTGAGCATGTGTGAGATGTGGGCCTTGGGCCACTGTCCTGAAGTCCAGCCCTCGCTGTCCCCCGGGCAGGCCGCTGCGGAGCAGGGCGGCCTCACAGCCCGGGCCCACACCTCGGGGTGGGTTTGCCAGGGCCTCGCCGAGAGGGGAGGCCGTCCTCACGTGCAGAGCCCCACCTGCCTCCCGGCTGCCCGGCCGGGCCCGCGCCCCCTGCCAGCCTTACCTGAAGTCCCCATCGTGGTATTTGCCGACCGCCTGCAGCACGATGGTGACTAAGGCCATGACAGGCTTCACAACGCAGAACTGCAGCGTGGCCTGCAGTGGGGGAGCGGAGTGAGGGCCGTGGCTGCGCGGGCAGCACGTGGGCAGCGAGGGGCGGCTGGGGAGGCCGGGCAGCCCGCTCACCTGCTTGCAGAAGCGCAGGAACCCCACGGAGTAGGCCACGCCCCGGAGGCAGCAGGTGCCGTAGAGGCAGCTGGACCTGTGCGTACAAGTCCCCGGTGAGCCCCTGGGGGACACGGCCCTGGCCACCCGCTGCCGGGGCGGGGGGGGGGCGGGGTGCTCACTGGACGGGCTTTCCCCGGATCTCGGCCATGATCGTGCTCTCGCCCCCCAGGTACTGGAAGCAGAGGCTCAGGAAGCTGTAAATGACAAAGGCTGCGGGCCCAGGGCGGGCGCGGTGGCAGTGAGCCCGGGCGCCCGCGCAGGCGCCACGCCGGCACCACGCCTCCCAGCCCCACACTGGACCCCCACACAGCTCCTCGGTGTCCTTGGAGGACAGGCTGAGGGGCAGGTCACACAGCAGGACCCTCCCCTCCTGGGGGCTCCCAGCCTGGCCCTAGGACCACAGGCCACCCCGGCGTCCCCAGCAGTCCCTGCGGCTCTTACGCCCCCGCCCTGTCGAGGGCCCCACTTTCCGTCCCGTCCCGGCTCCAGGCAGGCCTGGCTGTAGCCTCGACGCCCCCCTTGGGAGTCCGGGAGTTCTGTGTCCCACGTCCACGAGCTGCCCTGGGCACCAGTGACCCCACGGCCCCTCACTCGGCCCAGCCGCCGGCCTCCTGGGCCCTCACGGCTGCCCTCGGAGGCGCGGCTCACCTTCATAGCAGTCTCGCATCGAATCCAGGTAGATGTAGTGCTGGCGGGCCCCCAGGAGGAGGAGGCTGAGCCAGGAGCTGAAGGCGTAGACGGGCACGATGAGGAGCAGGCGGATGATGTAGCGCTGCTCGTTGGGGACGGTGTAGAAGCGCAGGTGCAGGTAGATCTGGGGGGGCGGAGCGAGGCCGGGCTTGGGGACCTTGGGGCGACGTGGGGCCACCCGCCACCCCCGTGAGCAGACACTCATTTGCCCGTGGCTCGTGCATTTGGTCACCCAGCCCAGGAGACTCCCAAGGGGACGGTCATTCCGGAAGGCAGGCTGGCATTTCCACGGGGACGGGAAAAGGGCTGGGACCCTCTGACCCCTGTGGAGGATTTGCTCATGGCGATGCAGTGTGACCGCCGCACGTGGTGGCGGCCGGCTGGTCACGTGCTGCAGCCACCCACGGGCACACGGCGGGGAAGAGGGCACGTGCTCCGACAGAACGTGACGTGGAAACATCAGGACGAGCCGAGGAGGACGCCAAGCCTGCTGGCGACGCATGGTCGGGCGCGAGCAGAGCCCTGTCCCAGGCCCGGGTGGCGGGAAGGGGGCGTGAGAGCTCCCCGCAAGCCTGGCAGGGTCCTCCGCATCCTCCACGAGAACGCGGAGACCCCGAGTGTCTTTACGGGGAGGAGGCACCGGGAAGCCGGATGCACCAGTGGCTGGCCATGGTCTCACAGCACGCCCGGAAGGCCTCCTGGAGGAGGTGGCGTGCGTGGAGGAGGAGAGGGTGGCGAAGGGCAGGCTGGGCAGAGGGAGTGGCATGTGCAGAGACGTGCGTGCCCGGCTTCCTAGGGCTCAGCACGGGGAGAGGCGGGACAGGGACAGGCCCCTTATCAGCCGCTCCCTCCCCAGCTGGAGCAGTGGGCAGGGCACGACCAGCCCCGGGAGACCTGGACTCTGCTCCCGGTGCCAGCGCTGCCTGGCGGGGTGGCCCTTGGCGAGCCACTGTCGTCTTCAGCCTACTTCCTGTCTTTAAAGCGAGAGGCTGCGTTCCTTTCTGTCCTGTTGGGCTCGGATGGGCAGAGGGCCTGGCAGTGGAGCGGGCAGCGGGGCCCAGGATCTGCAGCCCGCCGGGTCTCCGTCAGCCCTGTCCGGGGAGTAGGGCCCCGGGAAGCTCAGGCATACACTCACTGGTCCCCAAGTTACAGGAGGTCCAGGCTAGACAGAGGGAAGCCAAGGCCCAGACTGCGGTTGCTGGCACCTGTCCCCTGCTTCTCTTTGTCCTAGAGATCACGGCCTACCCCAGACCTGACCATCCTGCCACCGGGTAGGAAGGCGTGGTTCCCGCCAAATGCTAGCGTGTCACCCACCTGTCGAGGTGCCGAGGGCAGCTAGGCGAGACTCAGCACCAGCACTGCCCCTTGCAGGCAGTCCTCCCTGACGGCCCCACGTGGAGGGACCACCTCCCCAGCCCCTCCCAGCTGCACCTCAGTCCCCGTGGCCCCCGCTTAACATTTGTCATGTGTACTGTGTGTCTGGTTATTCGAGGCCAGACAGATGACTCCCTGAGACGGCCACCTGCTTCCCTGCCTGCCGGTCTCCTGACGGCCCCTGCCCCCAGGCTCACCCACCAATCCGGTCCCTACGCCAGTGCCAGCCACACTGTCCTGACGGTGTCCTCGCGGCCGCCGGTCACCAGGCTGAAGACCACACCCCGCATTGATGTTCGAGGCCGCCACATGTCCCGAGTGCCTCCAGCCCAGGCGGCCCTCTCCAGCCCACCAGGGGCTCCCGCTCCCAGCTCCCTGCCTCTCGGGCCGGGCCTGCCCTTCCAGCCCTTTCCGCAAGCCCGAGAACTCTTAGGGCCTCAGCGTCCTAAGACCGTTCCGCCACCGGGCCTGGCGCTGCTCCTTCTAGGGGCTGTCCTGTCCCCCCAAGCCAGGCACGTAGCCTCTGTCCCCTGCGTCCCTCCCCAGAAGCCACCCTCTGACCCCGTTCTCGGCTCCCCCGAGTGGAGTCGCGGCCTCACCGGCCTTCCGGGGGTGCCGTGCGCCTCAGTCCTCTGGTCTGTGAAAGGGGACACCACCGACCTCAGTGGACAGGCTGACGAAACGCTCTCAGCGAAGGCCCTCTGCCCTCTGCCTGGCAGAGCCCGCCGTCCTCAGGCCCAGCTCCTGAGGAGCCAGCCCCTCTGCCCCGCCGAGCCTGCCGAGCCGCCTCTGAGTGGCCCTGGCCACTGCTCCATGTAGCGGGGCCTCTGACATCAATGCCAAGGCCAGCGTTTCAGACCCCACGGTCCCGGCGGGGCCAGGCTGAGCCGAGGCCATGGCCCCCTAAGGCGGTGTCGTGAGGAGGTGCAGAGGAGAGGGCTTACCTGGTGGCAGGTGAGCAGCAGGGCGGTCCACACGAAGACGCCCGAGACGCCGCGCGCCAGC